ACCACAGTGCTGACACTTCCTGAGACAATGCAATGGGCAGAAATCCATTTTCCAGCCTGGGAGGAAAGCAAGAAGTAAATTGGGAGAATGAAGAGTGAGGAGGAACTGAGGCGTTCACAGCGCTCGTGATGGGAAGAAGGCAGAAAATGGATTCATTTCTTTAAGATACAGCACTAGGTTTGACTTTGGGGTGCGTGCTGCATCACTCAGGAGCCCAGGCTGCCCACGCTGTGGGGCTGGCTGCAGACACGGGGATTCCTCTGACTGCACCCCCCAGATGTGGGGCAGGGGAGCTGTGTGTGCCCCATGGCCTTTCAGTGGGGGATTCTGCCAGTCTTGTGTGGGGCCAGGAGTAAACGGCTGCTCTGGGGAACCCTGGAACGTGGCAGCTCTGGGTAAGCCAGGATGCAGGATGTCCCCATGGGGAGATGCTCGGGGGATTTCAGCTCAGTCTTTGCAGGCTGATGACAGCCACTGACAAAATACTGCGAAACTGAGTGAAAATGCCCAGAGCAGCTGGGGAGGGGGTTGGGGCTCCCCAGGCTTCCTGCCCATGGTGGCTGGTTCCCCTGTGGCTCCTTTGGCCAGTGCTGCCTTCAGCATCACTCCTTGGAGCACCGGCGGAGGTCTGAGGCCGTGGCTCTTGCACTGCAGCTCCTCACGCTGCATCTGGCTAATGAAGTTTGTCCCTTTCCTGTGGCTGATAACGCTGCGCTCATTCCGCTCCGGTTCACATCTCGGAAGCACAAAGTTTCCTGTCTGTGCAATTCCTGGGCACATCGATTTGTGGCTATCTCCTGGCAGGGGTTTCATCTGCTCTCGCTGTTTATGTGCGGCACTGCGGATGCACCCAGGAATCAATGCTGCTGCTCTTGCTCCTTTTGACAGGCAGCTCCTTCGAACTCTGCCTGCGAGCCCGATGTCCTCCTCCCCATTCCTGCTGCCTGTGCCGTCTGCGTGGCCCTCACCCAGGACCACGCTCGGGTTCTCAGGTTCCTGTGTCGGGAGCCGCACGGGTGAGCGATCAGACACGAGTGCATCTGGAAAGATGCCGTTGACGTCTGTGCACGCACAACACCACGAGCCCCTGGTGCGTGCAGGAGCAGGAGCCTGGGTCAGCGTGAGCCTGGGATCGATTTGGCAAGGCTGGCTGTTGTTGTAGAGCCATGGGTATTAATTAAGCTGCTCTGCCCTTGTGCGCTGCTGACAAAGGCAGCCGCTGAACCAGCTCTAAACCTGGCTGTGGGGACTGGGGGGTTCTGACAATCCTGGGCCAAAGTCCAGTCCCAAAGCTTGGGGAGGTTTTGCTTCAGGTCTAACTAAAACCCTTCAGCTCCTTTCGAGGAGGTTTTGGTTGGGGTTTTGACAAATCCATGATTCATCCATCCCAACCCGAGCAAGAGCACAGGTAACTGTACAGAGAGATGCTCTGCTAAGGCAGCGTTTCTAGATAGCGTGGTTCAGTGTGCTACAGGGAGTTCAGGGAGGGTTCCTCCTTCCCCCGAGTGATGCTGTGTGCAGTGAGGTGGAGGGAACACAGCATCAAGAGACATTTGCTCTCCAGTCTCTGTCAGACCTGTGGCAGCACCGGCCCAGCTGCATCCCCATCACTGCTGTGCTCTCCAGTGAGGGTCAACAGTGGGGAGAACAGTTCATAAACCTGAGCCTCAGCAGCTGTGGTTAGAACTTCCTCCATTTCCCCCCTTCCCTTTCCAGTCTGTGTTCCATCAGCCTCATTCCCCTGAGGTTTGCTGGCCCGTTTGCTGTCCCCTCTGCCGTCCCGTTTGCTGTGCTGTTTGCTGTGCTGTTTGCTGTGCTGTTTGCTGGCCCGTTTGCTGTCCCCTCTGCCGTCCCATTTGCTGTGCTGTTTGCTGTGCTATGTGCTGTGCTATGTGCTGTGCTGTTTGCTGTGCTGTTTGCTGTGCTATGTGCTGTGCTATGTGCTGCGCTGTTTGCTGCGCTGTTTGCTGGCCCATTTGCTGGCCCATTTGCTGGCCCATTTGCTGGCCCATTTGCTGTGCTATTTGCTGTGCTGTTTCCCCACCTCAGTGCTTTCTCCCTTCCCTTGGCCTGGCTGCTGCTGGTTGACGTCAGAGAGGTTCCTTTCCATCAGCGTTTGAACGGAGCAGTTTGTTTCATGTTCGCAGCATCCATGTGGAAGCAGACTCCAGAAGGTGCCCATGTGAGAGAGCAGCCTGGGGGTTTGTACAGGGAGCTCCATCACAGGCTGTGGTTCGTGCTGCTGCCTTTGGGTTTATCCCCTCCAGAGACAGGATGCACTTCACACGTTTCCTTAGGAAGGAGTTGCTGTTTGCCCACTAGGGGAGTTCTACAGAGGTTCCTCTGGTTTTTAACTCACCAGATAACAAGGAAGAGATTCGGTGTCTGCAGCCTGCAAAGCTCTGGGGTGTCTCAATCCCACCACTTGTCATAAAAAGGTGGTGGTGGTGGCTTCAGACTGCGGTGGACCCAACCTGATCTCTTGGTGTTCTTAGATGTTGCACCACATCTTGGTTGGAGATGAATGGCAGTTCTAAGCTTTCCCTGGGCTTCTGGATAGTAGAGAAAAAATATCAGTGACTTTAACAATATCGACCACATTATAATATTTATTTCATATCACTCCAAAAGTTCCTGTTGCTGTTTAAGCTGCCCCATTCCTGAGCCAAAGCTCAGGTGGTTCAGGATGCCAGCGGCTGCTCCGGAGCATCTTTCCACTGCGGGTATTAGTCTTTCCATAAACGCTTCCACTTTCCAGCATTTGTGTTGTGATAATCTCTCCTAGCATTTCTTGCAATGCTTCATTTTAATATACATTCCCTTGTCACTGCAGAACTGGATTCAGCCTCCAGGTAAATGCTATCTAAATCACTGCTTCAAGGGGAGAATGAAATATAGGTGTGCGAGAGAAGGCAAAGGAGAGGAGTGAATAAGAACTCCTCACAGAGCGAGAAGACATCCCTGCAATGGTGTGTAGGATGTGCCGCTCTCCTCATCCTTATGGCCTCTGCTCCCTGCTCTGGCTACGGGGTGTGGGTCAGGTAGAACCTCAACATTCAGCCTTGTGCATCTGAGGCTGTCTAAAGGGGACAAAGAAGGAGAAAGATGGGAAGGGTGCTCCTGGCAAGCAGCAGAGTCCGCAATAGAAGCCGTAGGTGTAGATCCCCCTGGTACACCAGGGGAGGGGATGGGGAAAGCAAGACTGGAGCTGGCGGCAGGATGCGGGCGCTGCGGGGTGCTGGTGAGGGATCGCATATTCTGGGAGATGGTTTTTCACTTGGTTCTGCGGCTCCGGCCTTCATCCCCATGTCGTGGGACCGGGCCATGCTCAGCACACCGAAACCCGTCCAGGCTGAGTGTTTCCCATGGGGAAGCTAGCCCAAACCTCGCCGTGGTGGTGGCAGCTTTCTCCTGCCTTCAACCTGAGCGCTTTGGCTTGTGTTTGTTCCCGTGCCAGGGCTGTCCTGAGCCCAAGGAGCTCTTCCCTCCCTCTCCCGCACCTCGGCTGTTCCGAGGCCAGGCTCCACCATCCCCAGTGGTCGCGGAGCCCTTTGCTGCCCTGTTCCCATTGGGGTCTGTCCCTGTGGAGCATGGGTGACCAGACCCGAACAAAGCCCCCAGATAAGATCTTCCCAGGGCTCTGCACAATGGAAACTTCCACGGAGCCCGGCCAAGGCGGCTGCTGAGGGCGCGATTTCCCTTTGAAACACCCATTTCTGCTGCTCTCCTTCGGCTCAGAATTCCAGGGCAATTTCAGTGCAGTTTTGACAGGCAATCCACGACGGTGTTTACAGATAGAACCAAAATCAATTTGAAGCTTGGTCTTCACAAAGCCAACATTCATCAGGTTCCTGCAACCTCTCTATGCCAAGAAAATCTTCTTGCAGCGCTGCATTTGAAATAGGAATGAGCATCCTAAGCCCCATAACGCCTTGGGGATTGGGAAAAGTAGATTGTTTCCTACTCTAAGCTTCCTTGAATCCGTGCCCAGGTGCTGTGCGTGCTGCTTTCCCTACAGGCAGCTCCATCAGCCTCCTGCCAGACTGAGATGCTTCAGTAATACTTGTGATTTCCCACAGCATTGGTGTCCTCAGGGCATGGGGATCCCTCCGAGCTGGGGCCACCACTACAGAGCATCCCTTTAAGACAGCCTGGGGCGGGGGGAAGGAAAGCGGCATCCGAGTGATCCAGGCCACAAAGGGAGATGGCAGGCGGTCAAGTCGGCGCTGACGTTGCCTGGTATAAATCAGGAGGGGTGGCAGCTGGGTGCTGCTTGCAGGGAGCACGGGCGCGAGGGACCATGGTGGGACGTGGAGGTGGGGAGGGAGAGGTGTGTCTGGTGCTGCAGGTTTATATAAGGGAGGCTTCTTCCATCTCTGGAGCAGGTAAAAAAGGGGAGGACGAAGCAGGGCCTCGACGAGTTCCAGGAGAGCCCGAGAGGATCCGAGCGCCGTTCCCTGGCTGCTGCTGCTGCTGCAGGTAAATAACATGTGGGCATCAAAGCGAAGGCTGCACAGTGGCAGGGAGCGGTGGTGGCAGTGTCACGCTCTGGAAGGACACGTGTACCCTGTGCTGGCTGCTTTAGCCTGAGATTTTGCTGTGCACCAAGCTCCGAGTCGTTCTGTCGCCTCCTAATTAAATTTATATTAGCATTCAGTACATCACGACCTTGGTGTTAGCTTGTTCTAATCACCTGAGCTTCAGCTTATCGCTTTGGCGAGTCAGACCAAACAAGGACAATCCTCAGCTGCTTCCCGTGGCGAGACCCTCACCAAAGCCCGTGTAACGTTTCCCCTGAGGACTACAGCAATGACAACAGCATAACCATCACTTCAGGGCAAAGCAGGCGGGCTTCCTTCCGTGTGAGCACGCAGAATATTTTGGGCCAGTACAAAGGAGCAGGAAAGGGCTTTTATGACCCACACTCGAAGTCTCCCCACGTGTGTGGACATGACCACGGTCCTGCTGCCCCAGGCTGGAGCAGAGTCTTCTTGAGCTCAATGAAGAGTAGAGGAGGGATTTTCCTCTCGACCTCATCCCTTGCAAGGACACCGGGATCACTCCTTAGAGGCTTTTCCCCCTCCTCCCTCTGTCTCCCTTTCCAGCAGGGGATTCTTCCGGCGGTGACGATGCTGAAGCTTTTTGGAATCCTCTTTTTCTGTGGCCTCCTCTCGCCCTCTCGGGAAGTCTTGTCTGGTCTGTCCTGCGCCGTCAGCCCAGGGGCCCTGCAGAAAGGTAACCAGAGAACGTGAGTTACAGCCGGGGGAAAGCTCTGTGGAGCCAGGGCGTGGAGCAAAACCTCCCCTTCAGTTTACAGCTCCTCAGGGCTGCAGGCTTTGCTCGGAGCTCCTGCCACCATCGCTGCGTCCATGGCTCAGGGAGGTCTCCCTGCTCCAGAGCTGGGGCGCGTTTCAGCACCAAAGAGCCATGGAACTTTGGGGCTGGGTCTGGATTATCTCCCCTTAGCTCTCATTCCACGCTGGAGCAGCCGGTGTTTGGCAAACAGCGCTGGGAAGCTCGGCAGCTGTGTCAATGTTTGCGATGCTCCGGCAAAAAAACAGATACTTGTTTCGAGGTGCTGCTGTCAAACAAAGACAGAAAGAAACAAACACCCTTTAGAAGGGCAAAGCGAGCTGTGAGTGAAGCCACGGCCACTGTCACTGCTGGTGACATCCGCACTGTCAGCTCTGAGTCAGGGGTCTGGGATGCTCTCCTCTGCTGCTCCTCCTGGCTAAGTCACTGGGGGTGGCTTTGGTGTCACCTCCCATCCCCTGGGTGATTTGGCTGCGCTGAAGCAGCTGATGACTTGAGGAGTTCTGGGGAGCAATGGGGCTTTGTGTGTGATGCCTTTGCCACGACAGACCTGACTGAGTGGGGAGAGGTCCCTGCTGCAGGTGCTGGTCCTCACATACAGATGTTTTCCAGTTCTCTCCGATGCCATACTGCAGAACGGGCTCCTCCAGCAGCACCTGCAGGGCCTCGTGCTCCCAAACATCATGGGTGAAGGGGGTCTGCTGAACTCTCCCACCAGCATCACGGGGTAAGCGATGGCACCTTCACCCCCCATTCTGAAGCAGCAAAAGCTGAGCTGCAGTTGGCACAATTGGCCCAAGAACTTATCCTTGTTTGATGTTGATACTGAGATTCTGACCCCATGAAGGCCCTCTGTGTGGTAGCAAGGTGGGTGGTGAAGCACGCTGCAGGTTAGGGCTGCAGAATGATGACTCTGCTGCTGCTGTTGGTATCAGGGACACTTGACAGCACGGGAGGGGGGAGAAGGGGCTACAAAGAGAAGGTCACTGCTCTGTGAAGCTGGCTTCCACCCCAGTCTGCCGCTGGGCTGCCTTCTCTTGGCTCTCAGCTGCAGTCTCTCACCCTGGAGCTGGTGTCTCTTGCTTACACCGCTCGTGCCTCCAGCAGAGGTGGCTGTGGGGCTGCGGGTTCCTCGGTGGGTGCAGCTGCTCAGCATGGACGATGCTTTCCGTGTGTGCAGCCTGCGCTCTCCTTCGCAGCCTGCACCTCGTCCAGGTCCGGCTGCCCAAGCTGTCGGTGGTGCTGCTGCCAGGGATCGGCGTCCAGCTCAGCATCGCCGCCAAGCTGGAGCTCGGCGGCAACTGGTGAGAGCAGACAAACCCCAGCCCCTGGCCTTCCTGGCGGGCAACACGCTGCACCTTCCTTGGGGTTGTGTCTTCCCTGTATTGAAGCCACGGAGCAGAAAAGGCACTGCGAAGTGCTTTGTGCCATTTGGACTGAGGTGCAGTTTGTTGCTCTCTGCTTCGCCGAGTTTCTCTGGTTAGAGGCCAGGAGCTGAAATGTGTTCAACCCGTGCTCTGGTTTCAGCTTGGTTGGCCTCCTTTCCGAACTAATCGATGTCTTTGTGGATGTGAACATTACCGCAAACATTAAGTGCACGAATTTCGAGTCGGGCACAGTGCAGGTGGTCATTGAAGACTGCCTCTGCATCCTCGGTGCCATAAGGATCAAGCTCCTCTCTGGGTAAGTGCTGCGGGTTTATGTTTTCCATTGCGCGCAGCCCTCTTTATCCAGTGATCTCAGCAGTCTGCCGGGACACAGCCGGTGCTGAGCTGATGCAGAGCCAGGCCTCGGGGAAGTGATTTCTTTCCCGTTGCCAAAGCCGGTTGCTTCAGTGGAACTGGCAGGAAATGTGCTGGTTGGAAGATGAGGGTTAATTTGCTCTGCTTGCCCAGGGAGGTTTTAAGATCCAAACATGAGGCTTGGTGCCTCTTCCAACGTGTTTTCTTCAGACATAACCAGTGAGTTGCTATCCAGTGGGCAGGAATAACAGGGCAGGGAGTGTTCCAGGAGAACAGCACCGTCACCTGCCCTGGTTTCATGCTCTGCCCTTGGCTGCTGCCACAGAAAGATGCTGAGCATATGGACCTTGGGCCTGACTGCTGCGGGCATGGGTAATTCCATGCAAATGCCCCATCTATTGCTCAGTGTTTATGGAATTCCTGGCAGAAGGAATTTACTGACTCGTGTATTGATGGATGCAGCAGTAAATTGATCATGGGAAATACTTTCTTTTATTGCCTTTGAATGACTCACTTTTCGGGTCCATTGAATTTCTCCTAATTAATTTTTGCATTATGCATTACGTTTCCGTCAGCAGCCGGTTGGAAGAGCCTGTGTAAGTGAACCGAGAGTGGGGCTCACCCGCTCTGGGGGCTGTATCTTGACTCTGAGCAGGATTAAAGTGATGCTGCGCAGGATGCTGAGCTCCCTGTGGGGCGAGGGGGAGTGTGGGTGTGCACGGGTGGCTTCATGGCAGCTCCTCAGATGTGTCTGTAGGCAGAACTGGGGCATCAATAACGAGGTGTGTTATGAATTCCTGCTGTCTGTGGCTTGCCAAGTGCGCTGCTGCATGTTCTAACCCAACAGCCCAGAAATATATCGATTACCAAAAGTAAATGGCTCTGTGCTGCCTGCAGGCACCACCCATCCCAGAGTGATCTATTTAGCAGCAGCAGTGAAACGTTACACAGAAGATTTCTCCTCTTGTTACTCCACAGCAAACGGTTCATTTCCAGTAACTCACATGCAGATGTTTCATAACGGCCCCACCTTCCCCTATCTGAAATCCCAGAGGGACACAGCCCAACTCGGGTGACACTGGAGATGCTCAACCCTTTCCCGCACCCCCAGTGCTGAATAAAGCCCAATTCTCCCCTGGGTGGGATGAGCAGTCCCTTTCCCTCCTGCCTCCTGCCCAGCGCCTGCTCCTGCCAGCGTTAGCTGCAGCAGCGCTCCGGAGAGGACGGCCGAGGATGCAGCAGGGTGAAATGAAGGCTGGAGACCCTTGCGCTGGGCTGGTAGTGACTGGAAATGTTTTCTCTTTCCTTCCCAGCTTACTCTCCCTGTCAGTGAATGAGATCGTGCTCAAGCAGCTGACAGCCACTCTGCCCGGTTTGGTAAGCCCGGAGATTGCCCTCCTTTCACAGCTGAAATGTGGGAACAGCAGCAGGAAGCTGCAGCAGCTCTGTGCTGTTTTCCCACATCACCAGCGTGTGCTGCTGGGCCAGGATGCCCATGACCAGACCAAAGCAGTCCCCTCTGGTGTGGTACCAGAGCTCCAGGGATGCTGCACTGCCCCCAAGTCCTCCACAGCAGCCCAGCTGCTGCCTAATGCCACACAGCACTATTCCCCATGGGATTTAGGTTGAAAGGAGTGGGTCGGGTCAGGCTGGGGGCGTGGGAGGGGGCAGTGGCTGAGCCGTCGCATTTCTGCTTCGTGTTGCAGCTGTGTCCAGTGGTTGACATCGTGGTGAACCTGGTGAACATCCAGCTCCTGGGCACTCTCAACGGTGTGTTTCTGGTGGAGGATGGGTGCTGCTTCCCCATGCAGTGGGAAGTGTGCTTTCCCACAGTAGTGCACCAGGGAGGATGCACATCCGTAAGAGCAGCAGGAGGAGCTGAGGAGCTGTGCTGCTTCAGGTCTGTTGAGCCTTGAGTTCACACCTGAGCAGCCCAAGTGACCTGCTCGCCCCTTGGCCCCCTTTAAGCCATGTTTTCCATCACTCTTGGATTTAGCTTATCTTTGCTCCTCTGGGGCTGCGTTCTAAAGGCAGATCCCACAAAGCTGGATTTGGAGCATCCCCCAGCAGTGAATGCTCGGGGCCGGGTTGTGGGTGTGGGGTCTGCCTTGGGGCAGGGTTTGTGCTGCCCGTTCCCTGGTGGGGTGAGGACCCTTCTCCCCGTGCAGCGGTGATCCCGGTCGGCACGGCAGGAACCATTCACTACCAGCTCGCCAGCCTCCCCTTCACCTCCGGCTCGTTCCTCGGCCTGGATTTAGACGTAAGTTAAAGGACCCTGGGAGGTGCCCGTTCACCTCATCCCATGGGAGCTGCCCTTTTCCAGTGCAACCACGTGCAGCCGCTGCTTAATGACTTGCTTAGATCCTTATCTAAATCACCATTAAGTGACTGCTGTGCTTTTCTTCAAGCCTTCTCTTGCTCTGTTCACAAACTCATCCCCAGGCTGCTTGTAACTGTTGGGACAAGCTGTTTCCATCCTCTCCCTCGCCTTGCCTGCGGACTGGGTGTCACTGTTTTTGCCTTCGCTATTCGGTCTCTGCTCTGGGTGAATGCTAAACCAAGCTAATGGATGTGTTCTTTACCTCTGCCTCACCGGCAGGGAAAAACAGCAGCAGGAACCAAACAGGACTTTCGAACAGGAGAGCTTAAAGAAAGTGGCTAGTGAGAAGCACCTGGGACACAAACAGAGCAGAAGAGCAAGGGCTGGTAACGAACACTGCACAGGCAGTGCTGCTGCTCCTGCTTTAGTGCAGGTCCTTCACTGGGATTAGCCTTTGCCTCCACCACCCCATGTGCTCAGAGCCGGTCTCCTGAGCAAGCAGTTGGTGTGGGTGCAAGTTTGCTGTAGGTCCGAGGCTGGCTCATGCCTGGCTGGGTGCTGGAGGTGGGGAAGGCTGGGCTGGACCCCAGCTGGCAGCCCCGTCACCATCGCGTGCTCTTGGAGACCTCAAGGGTGAGCTGAAGCAGCGAGCTGTGATTTGGGCAGTCTGTTGTTAGCTAAAAGGCCCCAGTCATGCACCCTGCTCTTCATCAGCTCCTTGCATCTGGGAAACAGAGAGGGAATTGCTCTGAGTCCAATGCTCTCCCTAAGCTGAGGCTCTTTGAGCTGATGCAGGCGCTGCACTGTCCATCTCAAGGACTGGATGTGCCTCATGGCTCTGGAGATTCGGTTTAATGTCCCTGTCACCTCTCTCCACAGGGTGCAGTGAAGCAGGTGGGAGGCAGCATCATCCCCCATGACTCGTCCCCCTCTGCCTTGCCTCCGCTGCTGGACAAGCTCCTGGTGCTGGGGCTGCGCCAGAGCTTCCTCAACGCGGTCCTGTCCCTCCTGGTCCGGATACCCCCACAGACCTTCACCTGCACCCCTGAAATCGTGAGTGTGGCAGCACCCGGGGAGGTGACAAGGGACACGCTGCAGCCTCAGCTGGGGAGCAGGAGCTGCTTTGCCTGTCCAGGAGCTGCCCATGCAGCTGGGGAAGGTGGAGGGCTCAGGGGCTGTGTTTGACTGAGCTTCCTGGGGCTTCCCTTGGGACAGTGAGGGAGGGAGAGCTGGAACCATCCCCAGGAGCACAAACAGGGCTGGGAACAGGAGCACCAGAGGGAGAGGGGTGGTCCTGGCAGGGTGGGATCAGTGAAATCAGCTGGAGAATTCACTGGGGCTGCTTGTGCTTCTGTCCCCACAGTTCTCCAGTGCTGGCAACCTGCAGAAAGCCATCGCCACCCTGCTCCCCACGGGGGTGAGTGCCTTCTGCTGCTGCCAGGCTCTGTGTGGACCTCGCCAGGTCCAAGCACATCCAAGTGATGAACCTGGATGTGCCAGGCTCCCGTCTCCTGCTCCCCTCCTGGCCATGGTGGGCTCAAGCCTGCCCCATTGCTCTTCCCACGTCCGCACTGCAAGCGGTGCCGACCCGTGCTGCTGGGCCTCTTTGCTCGGTACATGGGGCTTGTCCAAGGTCTGTGTGACCTTGGGGGAGACCCCACAGAGTTTTGGGGGGTGTGGGCGCCCACCCCCATGTGTCCCCGGTCCCCACAGTGCTCTGCCTGCCGTGGCACCGGCCCTCTGAGCATTAGGCTGACGCTGGCTGGGAGCCCGCTCATCCTCTTGGAAGATAGGAAAGCCACCGTTGAGCTTTCGGTGCTGGTTCAGGTGTTCGTCAGGCGTTCAGATGGACCCATCCTCAACGTCCTGCTGCTGAAGGCTGTGAGTGCATGGAAACCCCTCAGACCGGTGTCATCGGCAGCTGGCCGGGGGCTGGCAGCAGGGATGGGGATGTCCCTGGGAGCTGAGCCTCTTCCCTCTCTGCTTGCAGGATCTCGGTCTAAATGTGCACGTGTCGATTGCTGGTGGCCGGCTGGTGCTGGGGCTGTCCATGGGCGGGTAAGGCTGTAACTGTGTAGGTAAGGCTGTCCCTGGGTGGGTAAGGCTGTAACTGGGTGGGTAAGGCTGTCCCTGGGTGGGTAAGGCTGTAACTGGGTAGGTAAGGCTGTAACTGGGTGGGTAAGGCTGTAACTGGGTAGGTAAGGCTGTCCCTGGGTAGGTAAGGCTGTAACTGGGTGGGTAAGGCTGTAACTGGGTAGGTAAGGCTGTAACTGGGTAGGTAAGGCTGTAACTGGGTGGGTAAGGCTGTCCCTGGGTGGGTAAGGCTGTCCCTGGGTGGGTAAGGCTGTAACTGGGTGGGTAAGGCTGTCCCTGGGTGGGTAAGGCTGTCCCTGGGTGGGTAAGGCTGTAACTGGGTGGGTAAGGCTGTCCCTGGGTGGGTAAGGCTGTCCCCACAGGCTTTCAGGCAATGTTACAGGAGCTGGAAAGTTTTAGGGACTGGAGGTAATGTCTGTGTCAGTTTTATAACAAGGAGAAATGAGGTAACCTGAAGAACTGTGAGGCTGTCAGCTTGACTTTGATCCTGGGCAGTATTTGACAGTGTCTGACATGGGACAGGAGTGATAAAGGAGGAAAGGAAAGTGCTGTCATTAATGGCAGTCAAGGTATGATTAAAGATTGGAAAGCATTCCTTCAAGTGTGAGGTTTGAGGATTTCAAGCCATTTAGCTTGTCAAAGAGCTAGATTTAGAAGCAAAATTGGCATAGCTTGCATGCAGCGATACAGAGGACAGAAATGCATCAAAGAGCTTTTAATTCAATAGACAAAGGTATAACAAGATTCAGCAGAAGCAGAAAAGAGACATTCAAAGTGGAGATAAAGCCTACATTTTAGCTATGGAGGAAGTTGTGGTGGCAGTGATGGATTAGGAGCGGCAGCAAGTTCTCCAGAGCTCATGGTCTTGCCATCCAGGCAGGATGCTGCTTCTGGAAGCTTTCTCTCCGCTAACAGGAGCTGACTCCTTCCAAAGGTCAGTAGGTGCGGGAGAGGGCCGGGGAGGGCAGGAGCCACGGGTGCCCTGCCTCGGCGCTGCCTCATTTACAGGCAGATAACAGTTAGGTTCAGCTTTTCTTTCCCTGTTTTCTCCCCTCGCTTGCAAGGGTGGCACCGCTGCTGTTTGTGTCACCTGCTGACCCTGCTGGGCATGCCCCAGCCATGCCTCACAGGATCCCTCGCCCGTGGGTTGGTGCTGCTCTGGAGGTGGCAGGGCTCTTGCTGCGACCTCCAGCAGGTGCCGCAGCGTCTGACGTGCCCAATGCTTCCTTTCCCCGCAGCACTTCCCTCTCCTTGGAGTCCTCTGAAGTTGGCATCAGTAACGTAAGTGTCGCACCAGCCCGGGCCGAGCGCTGCGCGAGTGGCTGTGGGGAAGGAGGGATGGAGGCGCGTGGCCGCTGGTGCTGCTGTAACCTCTTCTGGCTGTGATGGATTACAGCTGCTGCGGGTCTCAGTTGTTTGCTGCTCTGTTTTGTGGCTCTTGGCAATTCTTTTTCTGCTGCCTTTTTTTCCCCTTCTGCCTCTTCTAATAATGCAAACGTGAAACCTGAAGTCTGTTTTTCCACCCCTGCATGGGCACCGCTTACACAGAGCTCCAGTGGGAGTTTCACCTGGAATAAGGTTTCCCAAAGGAAGCACCAAACTCAAATCAAGGAAGAATAGTTTTGCTTTAAAGAAAAGAGGGCGATTTGTCCTTCAGCCGTGTCCGTGGGAAGGGATCTCCAGCCCCAGGGCCGGCACCCAGCCACAGACTGGGCTGTGCTCGCTGCTGCCCTGTGCCAGGCAGTGCTGCTCACACGCTTGTCCCTTCTCTGGTGCAGATCTCGAGCCTGAGGCCCCACTGCAGCAGTCTGCTGGCCGAGACCTTAGTGCCCCTCATCAACGGTGGGTGACCGGGAGAGCTGGAACACCGGGAGGGCTCCGGCCGGGTGCTGGGAGGGAGGGGAGAGGGGATGTGCACGTGGCAGCAGAGCTGAAGCGATCAGACATCGGCGATCCCGTTTTAAGGCTGCAGTTAAATTCCCAGCCTAATTCTGGCACCACCCAACCCAGCTTCATCCAAAGGGCCCTGGTACCAGTGACAGGGAACATAAGGAAAACCAGAGCATGGCGGGGGGGGGGGGGCTCTGGTCCGTGCATCCCAAGTGGTTTTGTCACGGGTGGGAGCTGGGCTCGTCCCTGCGGTGTGATGTAAGGACCTGTCTGTCCCCTGCAGGTGCTCTGGGCATCGGGATCCCTCTGCCAAACGTGCTGGGCATTCCCTTAATAAAGGTGGACATCCAGATCCTAGCGGTGAGTGCTCTCCTCCTGCCTGTGCTGGTGCAGGTCACCGGGGCTGCTCCCACCCTGCCGGAGGCGTTGGGTGAGCAAGAGCCTTCCAGTGCCCCCAAAGGGCGCTGCTCCCTCGGTACAAATCCGATGCGAGGGTTTCCGCGAGCCGGTTTCCTGCTCCCCGGGCGCTGCCGCTGCGCTGTCGGGAGCCAGCATCCCGCATCCCTGGCAGCCGGGTGCTGACGTGGTTGTGTCGCTCCTTGCACCTCCTCAGGGCCTGCTGGTGATCCTGGTGTGAGCTGGGCAGGGGAGGCACCGGGGGCTCTGCCGGGGCAGAGGGGAAGGAGGAAGCGCGGATGGAGCCCGGAGCCCAGCGTTACCAGCCTTTCTGCGCTAAACTTCAGGATTCCTGATGACATTTAGGACACTTTACAGTTCATTGGCCTGCGAGCACTGAGGTGCTCCCATGAGCCAAACCCCCATAGGCCACTCCGTGTGCGGATGCTTATTTAGAGGACCGAGCAGGGTTTGGGTGGCAGTTCCAGCAGTGCCGTGGGATGCTGCAGCAGAGGTGTTAAATCTGTCCTGAAAGGAAACTGCTCTTGATATAATGAAGAGGGAACTTGCTGCATGTGGGTCTCGGAGGAAATGTCACCGTCCCCGTGCGGAAGGAAACTTGTAGCTCCCAATAAACATCCCTACTTTTGTAGTGCTGGAATGAGGTTCTGCTTTCTGATGCCTCTCAGGGAGAGCATCCGTCCTGCCTCCAGCTTTGGGGTCTGGTTCCTTTGTGACCACTGAGGTTTTGGTTTGAAAACTTTCCACTCAGAACAAAACCCACTTGGGTTTCCAGTGGCTGCTCCTGGCCAGGTCAGCCCCGCACACGTGCTAACCTGCCAGGAGTCCGAATGGAACTGGATGTCCACAGGTCATGAAGCGTTTCCTAATGGAATCGGAAGGGAAAACTTCATTACCTGCTCCCTGGGCAGCACGGTCGCACCAGAGCACACCCATGTCCCTGCAGCAGCCCACGCCTGCTCGGACAGATGTGAGTCAGTTGTTCCCTGCACGTCACACGTAGAAGAACGCGGGCACTTGGGATTTCAGGGTAGAAAAGAAATAAATCCAGGTCTCCAATGGCCTCTCAAGCACTTTCCCCAGCACTAGATGTTGTTAGCAGCGTGTTGTTTATTGCTGGTGTTCCCAAAGCTGGTGGTGGTGTGTCACTGTCAGAGTGTGGAAGAGGTCCAGCGCTGGTCAGGTAATGGACAGGGGCAAAGCCCTGTTCTGTGCTCCTGCCTAAAGGTAAGAACAGTTCAGTATCTGCTGGGTCACGGCCCTCAGCACCTTGTCCTGTCCCTGGGCAGCAGGGATGCTCCTGTGCGGTGAGGGAGCTCCCTGCTTGAGCAGCACCAGCAGCAGCTGGAACACACGGTGAGGAGCTGCTGCAAAGGGAGGTGTGAGCACGAGTGAACCACCAGGACCCTTGGACCCTGCTGCCTGTGCTCTGTGGCACTGCTGTGCCCATGGAGCTGGCTGAGCGGGGCTCTGGGGGCTCCGTGACCCCGTCACCAGCGGGCAGGATGAGCAGCTCCAGTGACCTGCACCAACTCCATTGTGCCACCTCAGGGCTGCTGCACTGATCGCGCTTGGCTTCTCCATCCATCCTCTCTGCCCTCGGGTCAGCGTTAAGGGCTCTGTTTGTCCAAGGTTGTTCTGGCTCCCGAGCAAACACCTCCCGCACGGTGAGTGAAGTTCAGCACCTTCTTGTGCAGTTTTAGCCGGCACTTCTGTGCACTCGGGTTTGCTGCAGGGGATTCGTTCTGCTGCTACACCATAACCTGGGTCCTGTCGCTGTCCCAGGGGTCTGTTTGACTCGAGACAGACAAAGCAGAGGGAAGCAGGTAACGAGAGCTCAGTGCAGAGCTGGGGCAGGGCCTGCATGAGCCTGGGGTCACAGAACAGTGGGAAAGTCATTTTGAGCACCTGGAAATGGCTTTTCCTGCCAGGGCCTGGCTTCCAGTGTGCCATTTATTGTACAGGGCTCCGTGGGAAGGAGCAGAGGAAAGGGCAGCATCTTCTGAAACGTGTAAATCTAATGTCCCGAATTGCTGCTGGGTCCAGGAGGAAATCCAGAGCAGGAAAGGGCAAGTCCGAATCGATAAGGACTGGGGTGATCCTGTCCACAGTGGAAAAACCTCTAAGCAGTGGTTTTCCATCGTGCTGGCACCTGATGAGCTGGAATATCACCTTATGGGTGAGCAGTGGGAATGGGGTGCGACAGGCTGGCTGCTCTGCCCAAGCTCCCGGATCTCTTGGGGCTCTGGGATCTCCAGCTCTTGCACCAGCAGTATCCCTGGTGAAGCTTCACACCTCTGGGGCTGGTGAAGGGGCTCGTCTCTGTTCCTCAATGGCTGAGCCGTTGGCTGTTACATCCATGCCCCTCTGGCGGTGCACTGCCTGGTGGCTCTTCCTGTGGGACCCGGGAGAACCACCCAGGAAAATGATGGATTTGGTTAGTGCCAAGCACAGCACCACGACCCCCTTGTCTGTGGTGCTCTTCCAGGTGAACCCAAAGCAGGTGCTGGGAGCACAGTGCCCCCCTTCTGCAGGTGCTGCTGTGCTGGAGGCTCAGTGAACTGGGGGGACAAGCGGAGGGCCCAGCTCTGCCCCACACCTGCGGCTGACCCACATAGGTGCTGGGAGCGGGGGGGCAGCTCCCGTGACCCCACGCTGAAGGTGCAGAACCATGCAGTTAAGCCCTCAGCCAGAATACCCACTGGCAATGAATACATCTTTTCACTGCTGCAGCTTATTCCTTTTGGGAACCTGGTTTAAGATATATTAGTCAAAGAATAATGGTTGCAGCTCTACCAGGGAACTTTTATTAGGAGCAGTTCCCACTATTGCCAGCCTTGGCCATTCAAATCATTAGTCAGGTCCCCAAGCTGGGCATATAAACCTTCGGGGTTTTTTACTCCTTGCAATAAATCAACCTGACTTGTTTTGTTTGCTCTCCTATTTCTGAGCCACTGAAATACGAGGGTTTGAAGTGCTTCCTAGAGGCTAGAAATGATGGGTAATAGCTGTTGTGAGTGCAAGCAGATGCACGTGTAACGTGGGTTCACGGCTGCGGTGCTGTGTGAAGTGTTGTTATCAGAGAGCTCATGAGGGGTGCAGCCCCCTGACCACCCCCTCTGTCCCTCAAGGGCATCCAAGGCTGTTGTGGGGCTTCCCCCCCCTTTTTTCTGAGCTGGGTCTGGGCAGTGGCAGGGAGCATCCCAGCATGGACAGAGGCTCCCGTGGGTGGGCGCCCGGCACGGTCTGTCCGGTGCAGCCACGTTTCCGTCGGCATTGGCTCCGTGCCGAGCGCTGTCAAAGTGCACTTTGGAGCAGGGAGCGTTCCTCGGCTCCAGAATTAGAGCCCATTGTGCAGACAGAGCTGGTTTATTGTTATTATTTTTCTCCTTCCTGAGCCAGGGAGAGGCACCAGCCGCAACGTTCCCATAGTAACAACAGGGATGGAGGAGAGCAGATGAGGGATCTCTTGTTGGTAGGGGCCGTGTCGCTCTGCACTAAGAGGCTGGTTTGCGTCCTTATAAATTGGTGGAATGTTCATGCTCCCTTAATTAAATGTAAGGGCTGGCCATCCGTACTGGTACCAGTTCTTAGCAAGAGCAATCTCATCTGTCTCCAGGTACAAATGGTCGGGGGGGTGGATCAATAGACACACCAGAAAGTGCAGTATTAAAGAGAAATGTTTAATTAAAGCATGGAACACAATTATAATCCATCCTCTTTGTGCAGCTGTCACACCAAGAGTGGGACTGGAAGGAAAAGGTGCTAGTGCAATGCTGTTATCGTCCTAGAGACGAAAAAGTGCTGTTCTAGTAAGGCGAGGAAGGAGATTCTCAGCATTTCAAGCAGCGCCAAAACACAAAGGAAGTGTGATGCAGGAGTCCACAGCTCGGCCCCCGTTTTACTCCAGATGTCAGCCCACAGTGGTCTGTGTTCCAGTCCTCGCCTGGAGCTGCAGGTTGCAGGGCACCAAGACATAGTCCTAGGCAAGGGGAGAACAGGGGCTGAGCAAGGTGCTGGGGTGGCTCTCAAGAGCCTGCTCAGGGCTCCCCATGGGCCAGCACCCCCTCCAGCACAGCCCCTGCTGCTGTCGGGGGGCTGGAGAGGAGCTCTGCCTGTGTGAGGTGAGGAGGCTTGGTTCTGTGGGTGAGCAGGGCTGGAGGAGCGGGCTCTGATTTATTCTGGCACCAGGAGGTGAGCATTGCTCCCGGGCTCCCCTTAAATCAGACACAGCAGGAGCACTTTAAAGGTCTTATTTCTTACCTTGTGAATCACGACGTTGATGTCGGTGTAGGTGAAGCTGGAGATGTGGGGCAGGACCAAGCCTTCGCTCAGGACCACTAGGAAAAAACAGAGGGAAAGGAGCCAGCTGGGTGCTGCCTTCGTCCTGGTTGCGCATCCCATGGGGCAGCACCACACAGGACTCCCGGCTCCTCACCATTGATCTGAGCTGGTACCTCCGTACGGATCGTGGGCAAGAAGAGCTCCTCCAGTAAGGCATCCTGCCAAAGGGAAGTCCATGGTCAGCTCACAGCATGGCTAAAGCAGGAGGGGGGCCAGGACCAGAGGAGGGGGGTCCTGGTGCTCACAGGTGAGGCCAGCACCAAAGTCAGCGTTCCCCTGCTGATAACCACTGCTCAGGACGGTTTAGGACCGCCTAAGCTGGGAGGTGCAGGACCAGGCTGTTAGAAGATGATGCTAAGGTGCATTCACTAAGTGGGTGCAGCACAGGGCAAGGAGGGGCTGTGGCTGAGCTCAGTCACTTGGGGGGTGCAGGGCACCTACCGGCACGGGGCCCACGTCGGAGGCAGCCAGGCTGAGCTCAACGTTCCTGGAAAACAGAGTGGAGCAGGAGGTGCTTGTAGTGAGCAACGACTTCCCCCAGGGACCACGGGTGAGGGCAGGGCCAGGGGGCTCGGTGCCTGGGTAGTGCCTGAGCAGGCGGCTGGAGCCTGGGCACGGCAGTGAGGGTCTAGGGAGGTTTTGTCCCCAAGGATTCAGCCTGAGCAGCCTTCTGGGGTGCTGCTGATGTGCCATGGGCTGGGGTGAGCGGGCTGGGATGCAGGATACTGCACTTTAATCACAGTGAAACTGGAGTCTCACTGGTCCCCTCAGGACAGAGCTACCTCTGCAGTGCCCAAACCATGTAAGCTAAGAAGTTCCCTGGATCATTTTGCCTTTCCTTTCCCTTTATGAGTGGGACACATCCCCTTCAAGCACTCGGAGCATAGCGGGGTTCATTACTCTATCACCGGTGCAGA